TGTGCTTGCCTGTGCTGGCCAAATTTGGGAGTGGAAACCATTTTTTCCAGGGGCTCTGGATTCCCTCAATGTTTGAGAAAGGGTGAGCTCTCAGATGTAGGAAGACTGAAACCTAGCTTCTCAGGATCCCAGGATGCTCAAGTCCTCAGAGCACAGATGACAAGTGGTGGAGGCTGAGAGTCTAGCTTGGACAGGGATGTTTCTCTTTCTGAGCCTTTTTGTCTCTAGCCCTGTCTTCTTCCTGCTGGTGCCTCCAGGAATGCCCATGACATTGGGTGGATGGCAGGATTATCCAAAGACCCCAAACTGAAGCTCCCCACCCACCCACGGGGAGTGTTCTTCCTGGTCCCAAGTGCTCTCCCTCATAGCCCAGGCAGACACCCCTCCTCCTCCAGCTGCTCATCTCTCTTTAGGAATTCACTACAAGTCTCAGCTCCACTTTCCAGAGGACGCTAAGATGTGGGACCAGCCAGCCGCTGGGCTGCAGCCCTGGGAGCTGCGCAGGTACCGGAGGACTGGAGTCAACCTGGAGGCAAAGCCAGAGGAGGCAGACATCAACTCAAGGAGACCGCCACCCCTGAGGTGCCAGGGCGCATCTCTGCGCAGTTGCCTCGTACATCCCAGACCCAGAGGCAGCCCTTGACGCTCCTTAGTCTTTGGGAGCCACTCTCTCCCTCAGGGCTGATAGGGGATAGCAAGGGCTCATCTCATTGTCACTTGGATCAGTGTGGCCATCACCAAGGTCTTGGCTTTATGCAGAGTAGGTTAGGAGGAGAGGTTCAGAGCGACAGGGTAGAAGTGTTCTCGCTGAAGTGACGGTGTGGAGGCAAAACCGCGAGAGAAGCCTTCTCCAGGCTTTCTGCCCAGAAGCTGCAGTCAAGTCTCACGGAGCCCTCCCGGGACCCCTCAGAAACGCGACCCCCTAGACACACACACACACACACACACACACACACACACACACACACACACACACACACACACACCACTGGCGCGCTTTGGAGTGGATGTACACCCACAAGTCACAATGCCCCAGAGCCACACAAGCACCGTCCCCGCCAAGCCACGAGACATCCCCTCCATCCTGATCTGGAAACCTCCACAGTTGCCATCAAGGTTTAAACTTTGTTATTTTTCCGAGAGGGGCTCCAGGGCACTTCCCAAGGAGGTGTCTGGGACCCCGGAGGTTCTGGACAGGCTGGTTCTGCAACTTGGGGCCCCTGGCTTCCCTCCCTCTTCCCCCACACCCCTCACCTGGTAACCCGAGGCACAGCAAGAAGCTGTAGTAGACCACCGGCACGAAGCCCAAGCCGCAAGCCGAGCTGTTGGAGGCGAGGTGGGCGTGCGTGTGCTCCATGAGCGCGCCCCTAGCCGGGCCGGGCTCGGCGCAGCTGCCAAGAGGCTGGGGACCAGGCAGCAGGCTGGGGCGGGATCGTCGCACCGCGGGACCGGCTTCCACCACCGGGCCGGTGTCCTCGGCGGCGGCTGGGCACCTGTCCTCCTGGATCAGCAGCTCCGCTCTTCGGCAGGGCGCAGGGGACGCGGGAGGGGCACCTCCCTCCAGGACCGCTCAGCTCCCGCCTCAGAAACCCGGTCGGGACGCCGCTCCCTGCAGCCAATCAGCAGCTGCCTGGATGCTGTGTGTGTGTGTGTGTGTGTGTGTGTGTGTGTGTGTGTGTGTGTCCACGCGCCGCGCGTACACGCGCAACGGGCTGGGGGGGATTGGGTGGGACGTTAACCGAATCCGGTCCCAGCAGCCTTTTCTGGCTCTGGTTTCTGGAGGAAAAGACCGGGTTCACTTGGGAACCCCGGAGGAAGACCTGGATGGAGGACGGGCTGTCCCGTGGGAGGGAGGGGCGTGGCGTGGGTGCCACCAGCTTCTCCCTCAGCGGCTCCTTTTCCCTCTCCAGCATGTCCTCAGTTTTTCTTCTGACTCTTCCCCCCAGCTACCTCTCAATGCTCCCAGCCAATGCGAGTCCATCTTCAAGTAGAGGATTCTACATCCTGGGGGTGGGGGATGGGTTTGCGACTGTTTGAGCCCAGGGAATGTTGAAAGGTTTTATATATTTATATATTTATTTTCCTTCCTGGATCTGAGGGCCGAGCTTATGGGTCTGAACGAAGGGTGCGAACATCTTTGTGCGTGCCACCGGGTCGGCGATGCTGTCCCTGAACTTGGAAGGAATGCAGGTTGGCTCAGAAGAAGCTCTCCACGCACAGCCCTCAGCCTGGGATAAGGCTGTTGCCGCCACCGAGACACACTGAGACACACTCACCCACGAGCACACAAAGGCACACAATGCCCCAGCCATGCGGGTGCCCTCGCACACTCATGCACGCGGAGACTCCCATCTTCCACACCTAGCTAGGCTGCTGAAAACACGCAGACACCCTCATCAATATGCACGAGTGCGCCGCGGACTCAGGCGGAGCCTGGACCGAGTACACAAACGCACGTAGGGGGCTGGGTGGGCTCGGGTGTTTGAAGGTTGTGTGAAGGAGAGTGTGGGCAGAGCAGGTGGGATTCCTGCAGTGAAGGGGCGCCCCCTTTGCAGGAGAGGCAGGCGGAGCGCGAGAGCTTCTTCTCTTGTCAAGGGTACCCAAGAATCTGCCAGGGAGAGACGTCTACCCCGGCTCAAGTCAAGTGTGTGTGTGTGTGTGTGTGTGTGTGTGTGTGTGTGTGTGTGTGTG